CGGGAACCAGGAGAGAATAAATGATAACCGGGAAGTAGCAGAGAATAAACGATAACCGGGAAGCAACCGAGAATAAACGATAACCGGGAAGCAGCAGAGAATAAACGATAACCGGGAAGCAACCGAGAATAAACGATAACCGGGAAGCAGCAGAGAATAAACGATAACCGGGAAGCAGCCGAGAATAAACGATAACCGGGAACCAGGAGAGAATAAACGATAACCGGAAAGCGGCAGAGAATAAACGATAACCGGGAAGCTGGAGAGAATAAACGATAACTGGGAAGCTGGAGAGAATAAACGATAACCGGGAAGCTGGAGAGAATAAACGATAACCGGGAAGCAGCCGAGAATAAACGATAACCGGGAAGCAGCCGAGAGAATAAATGAGGAGCAAAATGTTGCGCAAAATGAACTGAGGGAAGACTCCGAAACAGCTGGAAAATATCTGCGGAGGAAATAAGGCCAAGCTGAAGGAAGCAAGAACATCCTGGAAGGAAATAGAGAAAACGGAGCAACCTCGTGCCAGGACTGCGTGGAGGAAGTCTGTGGTTGAACCACGTTATCTTAGGAGCAAAAGGCTTAGGGTTAAGGTGAGTGGTACTGAACGTCCACTCACTCACATATTATACGTCCATACACGTCCACATTATTCAATTACTACATTACAGTATATAGAACAGTTCAATGGTGACACTCAAGAGTTCTCCCCAGGGTTCCAACATGCTTTCAAAGCTTAAGCTAAATTGCAACATCCCATAACTCCTCTGACATGTCTTAATCAATTAATCAAAAAACCTACCCCACCCCACACCAACCCACCCCACCCCATCCATCCATAAACAACGTGCCTTCTGAAATTTCCAGGAAAAACCTAATACTCTAACAATTTCATGTCAAATACCTATCATTCACTGGAGAATGTTTAGGTAGTTGCTTAGTAATTTAGCATTTTAATTTAAGAACCAACCCTAACAGTAAAACAATTTTCCACAATTACGTGTAGGTTCTCTAACCATTAAACATAAATTCATCACAGGTCCCCTAAAAATTTACAAATATAATATTAAATACTAATGAGCCTGTCTGATGCTGAACAATGCTGGCCCCGCAATCACTACTCAACTCTGCATTCATACCAACTACCATAATGCAGCAATATGCTGGGTAGTTAAGATTGAATATGACAATAAAGGAATACCTCTAAAGATCTATAGATGTTTCTAGGACGCTTCTAGACACCAATATAAAAACATGCAACCAAAACGTGCCAACTGTGATACACTGTTTATAATGCACACGTGACTGCGTTTTCTTTCTGCGATTGAGTAAACATACCAGTTGCTTGACGTGGGAGTGGTGCTGGAGGCATCAGGTTGTAGTAGTCCTGCTCAGGAATGGGGGCAGGAGGAGCTGGCATGTCTGGCATGCTATCCTTTCTCTCTCTCATCATAGGTTCCACCTCCTCTACTTCCACCTTCAATTAACATGCAAACATCTGGATAAATTCTACCATATCTTCCCAGGGAAAAAATTACAATTTATTTTTCGGGGGCTACTTTTCAAGCTCGCGTGCATGAAAATAGCACTCTAAAATTTGGTTTGCATTGAACTCTGCAAATTTACGGGGGCTCTTTCTGGCATTTCGGGGGCTAAATCGCCCCGAGCCCCCGTGTATTTTTTTCACTGTATCTTCCCACTATACCTACTAAGTATGCAACAGCATAGAGAAATAGCCGAGGTTGGTGTTATCATTGTTTTTTTAAACGAACTAAATGTTGTTGCATTTTATTACCTCACTTAAAAACATCGTTTGAGATTTCTAAATGATGCTAAATGATGTTATAATTTCAATTAATATGCAAATTTGAAGTACTATATTATAACTATGTTGCATCATTGGAAGTCTCACACAATTGCTACACGTTGCATTTAATGCAGCTTCATTAATACACACAAGAATATCAAGTTATGCCAAAGCAATGCAAGAATGTCATAATTATATTTTTAATACAACAAAAACAAACACATACGAACTTTTCATGAAAGGTTCATCTAGGTTCACTGTTTATCATGATGTACAAGTGATTGGCAAGGATAACACGACTATAAAAAAAAACGCTGCTAATGTATAATTTTTTCACATCTTGCTTGTAGATGCTGTCGCGTATCATAACGTCACCTTAAAAAGCATCGTGTCGATGCGACAGCATCATTAATTAGTAACGTGACTTTAAAACCATTATGATATTCTCATATTGTGCTTGCGCTTGACAGAATACATTACATTGCAACGCGCACAACTCACGGCAGCAACTACTTCAACTTTCACGTTAGTTGGACATCAAGGCGCGATTACCTTTGGGTTGCCGCTGTGACAGTCCGACAGGTATATATAGGGCGATGACGAGTCGAGCTCGTGACTGCCGTCCGTGGACATTCTGTTCAACGGTAGAGGGTTCATGGGGATGTCCGAACCCGAGTGCATCCTAGGCGAGTTGGAGAGGAGTGACTGCCGCGGTGAAGATCGCCCCTAGAGATCGCAGATTGTCATGAAAGGAAGTCGTGATCACACATGTAAGCCATCCTGCTTATGCTGATAGATGCATGCGTGCATGCATGTATGTATGTATGTACATTTGCATGGTGTGTACGTGAATGCATGCATTGTCACATGTTCATGTACTAAATGTCTACACCCGTACGGTCAGGTGAAGCCTCACTATTCTCAATAACACCGTCTATCAATACAGCTCCTCACTCAGCCTTTATAAACATCTCTATATTTCATAATGATGCACAACAAAACCATTTACAGAAACGTATTAATCTGACGCTCTGTTGGGTACAAACAAACAGTTGTATGTAATAGATAACATACATAGCAAGCAATTTTAGTGCATACAATCATTAATATTATATGGCTCAGTTTGTGGTTGTAACAATTAAAAAAAATAATCGAATCTTTTACACAGAGATACTGTGCACATGAAACATTTGGCAAAAACACCTTCATTGTGTAATTTAGGGAAAAAAGAGTGTATTATATATGGTTCTAGGACAAATACCCCCCCGGACAATTACCCCCGGACATTTGCCCCCCGAAGCATTTACCCCCCGCACATTACCCTCCCGACAATAATCACTTGGTGTTTTTATCATGTGAAGCAGTGATACAGTGGAGAGGTCGAGGAGAGCGAAGGTGTGGAGAAGGAGGGGGAGAAAGTGGAAAGGTGTGGACGGAAGAGGGTGTGAAAGGTGGAGAGGAGAGGAGGAAGAGAGTGGAGGAGGAGAGAGGAGGTGGAGGAAGAGGGGAACGACCGTGGGGGAGGTGTGAGGAGGGGGAGGTTGAGGAGGAGAGGGGAGAGAAGTATGGAGATGAAAGATGTATAGGAGTGAGAGGAGAAGAGTAGAGTAGAGGGATGATGAGAGGGGAGAATACGTGGGGAAAAGGTGTTGGAGAGGGGGAAAGGTGAGGAAAAGAAAGGAGAACGTGAAGGAGAAGAAAGAGGATGAAGAGAATGGAGTGTAAGGATTAGAGCGCAATGCTACCCCCTCCTCTTCCTGCTTCGCTCTCCTCCTCTCAACCACTTACCTGCACCTCCTTCTCCTCCCTACCTCCTCCCTCTCCCCCATCCTCCTCTTCCAACCTAACCCCTTCTCCGTGCGGCCTCTAACTCGCTCCTCTAATGTTCGCGGGGGGTTAAATTGTTCTCGGGTTAAATGTCCGGGACTGACGGGGCGTAAATAACTTCGGGGGGTAATTGCCAGGGGGTTGACTGTGTTATGGGGCTAAATTGCCTGGGGGTAAATGTCCTGGGGGTAATTGTCTGGGAAGTAAATTTCCGTGGGGTGATTTTGTCCGGGCGGTAAATTGGCTCTGGGGGTAATTGCTCCTGGGGGGGGGGTGAATTGCCGGGGGTAATTGTCCGGGGGGTGATGTCTGTGGGTAATTTGTCTCGCGTGGTGAATGGCATGGGGGCAAAGATGTCCAGGGGAATGTCCCGGGGTAATTGTCTGGGGGTGATTTTCTGGGGGGTTTTTTGTCCTGATACGCGGATTATTATATATAGATGGCCTGATAGTATAAATTTGCAAATATGCTCACGTGTAGACTAGATGTGCTATTCGTGTGAAGTGAATGCAAGCTACTCCTCTGTCCTGGCTGGAGAGTTGTTACTCTAGGTGAGTGGTTTGATGCGCTCGCTAGCGGCACAGCTGTCGTTATGGTGGTGCCTGCAGGTGCTGGATCATGGGTGTACTCGTGTGGATTTGGCACTTTGAAAAAGAGAACAAATGACAATTACATGTGACAACAACACGTTACAAAAAATGACAACAACACAACAAATGACAAACAAAATGACAACAACAACACGTGATGAGAACAATTAGCATTATGAAATCAAACAATGTGGTGTTTAGTACCAATATAAGCCTAGTAAAAAAGCTAGTTAGATGTCCGTAAAACTTCAGCCAGTGGCAATTGCTATCAGACATCGATAATAAAATAAAATTTGTTTGGAACAATACATTTTTAGTACATCCGTCATGTATAATGATCAAGCCACAGCAATGCATCTTATACCTTCTTCTTCGTCTTCTTCGTCCTCCTCATCTTCTGCCCGCTTGAGTCCACAGACGCGACAGATACAATCCACCCACTTGTTCATGTTGACTTCTGAGTCTGCACACAAGTAGTATGTCCTAACCGAAACAAAACACTAAATCAGTAAAATGACTCCCAAGTGTACATGAGCACGCCCGCCATCGCCAGTGAGTACGTTGCAGGTAGTAGTACCTGGTGGTAGTAGTAGTAGTTAATAGCAGGTGGGATTTAATTTATTTTCACGAATACTATAGGTTCATAATATCTCCGGTGGAAAAAGTGACATAGTTGCACGACATAACAAATAATACTTCCTCTTCCAAGTATTATGTTTAGAACACCAATAAAACTCGGTGCATTACTGCATACTGACTTTAGGGTCTGTCTGATTAAAATAACCATCGCACATAACCTAGTGGCAAAATTACTACTACGTGCCGACTCCCTATACATCGTTACCACCTAGAATAAATAACCAGGTTCATGACTGCAAATAGAGAAAAACAGTCATAAGCTGCTTTTTAAAAATCTACGATACTTGAAACACATAGGTAAAATTGGGATTGAATGTAATTATTGTTTTTATCATTAAATCTTTAATTTAAGTAATTCAAATACAAGTACATATACTGAATAAACGACTTTTCATAGAGAAAACATGGGTAGTTTAGACAGACATGGACAGACAGACATGGACAGACAGACATGGGCAGACAGATATGGACAGACAGTCATGACCAGACAGTCATGGACAGACAGTCATGGGTAGACAGTCATGGTCAGACAGACATGGACAGACAGACATGGACAGACAGACATGGACAGACAGACATGGACAGACAGACATGG